TGCAAAGCACAAGGCCAATGAGGAGGATGGACTGTCTGATGAAAGCACAAATGATATCCCTGGGACCCCCAGGGCCACCTTTGGGCACTGGCAGCAACACCCCAGGGGAGCTGGAACTGGCCCCTGGAGACAGGACTTGAGCTGCAGGGTGGTCGTCTTCCTATTTTACATTGTGAGTCAGGCAGGGTGGTCTAAACCGTGGAAAGCCCCAGATGGCCTCTGCAGCCGTTCACTGGAGCCTTTCCTTGCCATCTTGTCATGGAGGTGGGGGCTGGGAGGCTGGGCATGAGATCACTGAGAGCCAAAGGAGCTTGCATCTCATGCTTCAGACATGCTGGGCACTGTGCAAGGTGCCACCCCTGCTTTACCCACTGGCTTCCGGAGCACGACTGATGTCCAGCTGTGAAAGCGACAAATGAGTCCGAGGCTGGGCTTGGGATAGACTCTAGGTGTGTGTTCTCCTAACCTGACTATGGCGCTTGCTGCCTCCTGTGGGTAGCAGAAGTACAGAAGGCAGCAGGACGGGGCACTCTAGGCAGTGTGGGAGGTCTGATCCCATCCCCCACTACCACCCTGGGTCGGGGACGAGCCCAAGCCTCCTAGCCTTGTGCATGCTAGGCAGGTGCTCTACCACTGAGCTACACCCCAGCCGTCATACCCCACGTTTAAGAGGAGGTTTCCATCTCTCCCAGCACCCAGCTCCCTCCCCTCTTCCTAGAGGCCCCTGGCAGCAGGGCCCCAGGCCAAGGAGGATGATCTCATGGCTAATTTTGGATGCTTGCTGGGAAGCATAGGTTTCTTTTTTCTATTTTCTCCACCATGGGCCAGGGTTGGGGGCCCTACACCCAGGGGAGTACAGAGGGGTGACATAGGGTATCGTCTCCCCAGCCTGGGAATTTGGGCCCTGGGGGGACTGTGTGTGTTGGAAAAGATCCTCGAGGGAGGCCTTGTAGGCCCCTTGCTGGCCTGCCAGAAGCCTCAGGGCAGGGTGGCAGCTGCCTCTGGGGTGCTGGGACAGGCAGCGGCCAATGCTCACAGTCCAGCAGCGGAGGCAGATAATATAGAAATCAACAAACAAACATGAAGACCATTTAGACAGTCATAAATATGCTGTGCAGAAGAAGGGGACAGAGTGGCCACGTGCAGCCAGGGAAGCCTTCAGATATCATGAGGAGGAGACACTGGAGCTGAGGCTGCAGGCAGAAGGGCAGTGGCTCGTCCAGGGCCTGCGGTGAGTTCTGGTGCAGCGAGCCAGGACCCATGGCCGGATTCGCGTTCTGATATCTCCCTCCTCCCTCCGGCAAGTCTCCCTCTCTTGGGTTCCGACCGGGTCTCTCCATGACCCTCCTGCCTGTGGGACACTGCTTCCCCAGGTGCTCGACTGGCTCATCCTCCTGCTAGCATAGGCCTGTCCCTGTCCTCTTTCTAGAAGGTGATCTTCACCCAGCCCTGAGGTGTGGACTACCATCGACACCGTGATGACGCCACAGTTTCCCCTCCACAACTTCCCTTCCGGGTTCCGATGGATGTGTCATGCTGCTCTTAGGACAAAGCTAAGGTGATATAATAAAAGAGCCCAAAGTAGAATAGTTTTAAAGCGTTTAGCTAATTATTCTCTCATAGTTCCAAGGGAAGAGTTCTGGCTCCACGTGCCCACATCCATGGCTGCACTTCTGTGTTTAACAGGAAGCCTCCAAGGTCCTTCTTTCAGCCAGAGTGAGGAGGAGAATGTGGCTGTCTTCAGCAAGGCCTTCCTGTCTGGCAGGTGAGGCAGAAGTCGCACATACACTTCTGCCCTGGCTCTGCAGATGGGGTTGAGGCACACAATCCCCTCTAGCTGCAGGGAAAGTTGGGAAATGTGACCCAGACGGATGGACAGCTCGTGTTCTCTGCCAAAGTTCACCTTCTAGAACAGTAGGTTTTGTGGCAGCAGGGGGCGGGGAGGGCCCCTAAGCCTGTGCCTCGTTGGTCCTCAGCTTTGCCTTCCCAGAAATTCTACCTCATTTATTGTTTTTCCACAACCATCAAACAAAATGTGAAGAGTCCGTCTTCTCTGGATGCTGCTTTGGGCATCGTACGCTTTGCAGTCCAGCCTTACAGGTTTGTGGATGGGAACAATTTCTCCACAGATTGAGTGGGCTTCAGATCTGTCTGGTGCTAGTCAGTTCCATGTGCCAGCAACCACACCCAGAGTTCCTTTCCTAACACAGCTGTTTAGTTTGTCTTCTGTGTACAACCTGTCTTTTTCTCCAATTTTTACAATGAAAGTTTCCCTAAGGACACCTGAAATAATAGGCTTGGGTAACAACATCCTTCATATAATGCTTTGCTGAAGGGTCATTTTTTTTTTTTTTGGCTCAATCTCTAACACACAGGCTTTGCTGGAGACTCTGAGACTCACAGTCTGATCTTCTCCTCTTTGGGCAAAAGCAGTTTGGAGTCTATTTCTGCCCAACTAACCAGTCTCTGTCAACTAACTAGTATCTTGCTACATGTAGCATCACGTAACCCAACACATGCAAATGTTTGGCTCTTTCCAGTGATTTTTCTAGAATTACAGACTTGTAGGCAGGTTGTGATTGTTGATCTTGATTATTGACTTGATTGGGTTGAGAAACACGCAGGAAATTAGCGAAATGCACTTAAGGTTGTGCCTGTGAGGGTGTTTCCAGAGACAATTAACATGTGGGACAGAAAACGGAGGGAGGAACCAACCCTGAATTTGGGCAGCATCCCCCAATAGGCCAGGGGCCCAGATGGGAGAGAAGAGGAAGGAGGAAGTCAGCCTGCACCTGCTCTTTACCTCCCTCTCTGCCTCCAGGATGCCATGAGGTGAGCAGCTTTTCTTCACTATGCCCTTTCAACATGACATTTCAGCCTGACCACAGCCCTAAAGACAATGGACCTGGCTGACCATGGACTGAAATCTCTGGAACCGTGAGCCAAAATAAAATAAATCGTTCCTCCTTTAAGTTGATTTTCTCAGGTATTTTGTAACAGCAACAGAGGGTAACACACATATGGTCTGTTTTCCAAATTATCACACATGATGTTTGCAGTAAGTATTTTGTCCCAGCATAACAAGAGTCACCAGCTTTCTGTCCTTCAATACCTGTTTCTCTGTCTCACCACTCAATGAGGGGCTATAACCATGGCAGTTTCTCACTCCTGGTACCAATTCCAGTATTAGAGTATTGCTAAACTGTTGTTAGAAGGAACTCCAAAGTACAGTGGTTTTAAGATTATTGAAACTGATTCATCTCTCATGTTATATAAAATTCTGATGTAAGTATTTAAGCCTCATCCAGGTGGATGGTGGGTCATGGTTGACACCAGCAGACTCCACAAGGGACCCCCTCCCCAGTCTTTTCTCCCCTGAAATGTCCCCCTTTAGTCAGTCTAAAACTTGCTCAAGAAAAGACATAAAAATCAGCCTTGGCTCTTCCCCCAGCCTTACTGTCAGGCAGCTCCCAAATCTGGCCTTTCCTTGTATGTCCAGGGCCTCCACCCTAATCCAGATCTTCAGTGTCTCATCTCTGACCCCCACAACCCCCTAAGTGGGCTCCCTGCTGCTTCCCTGGCTGCTCTCCAGGTGGCAGACAGAATGAGTTTTCAAAAACATAAATTATGAGACCCTTCCAGTGCCTAACTAGTGCTCTTTGAACGAAATCCTGTTTCCATAATATGGGCTCAAGGCCTTAAGCGAAGGTGCCTACGTCTCATGCTCCTCACTCACGCTGCATCAGCTACATGAGCTTCCTTGCTGTTTATGGGCTCAGCCAATCATCTTCTTGCCTTGGTGCCTTGGCACTAGGGGTCCCTCTGCCCAACCACGCTCTTCCTGTTTTGTTACATGCTGGTCCCCTCTTCATCTTCATAAAACCACTGCAGGGTGGTGGGCAGGGGTGAGGGCTCAGAGCCTGCTGCTTGCTAGCTGTGGGACCTCGGGCAGGTTGCTTGGCTTCTCTGTGCTGTGGTTTTTCCAACCATAAATAGTAAGAACAGTAGAACTTGTTACCCAGGGCTCTGGAGAGGGTGAAATAACATGGCTAACATTTAAAGGAGCTAGTGACTAAAAGCACCCAGGATGGCTCAGATTAGCACCTAGTGGTGCTGTCATTGTCCTTCAGGTGCAAGCTCCATGTCACCCACTCTGAGAAGCCTCTCCTCTGGCCAGCTCCACACGCCTCTCCTCTTTTTAGCCCTGCACCCCTGTCGCGACACCCTGCTTTATTGTCACCACAGCATGTGCTCTCGTTTCTGTCTTTATGGTCCATCCCATCCCACCAGAATGCCCCTTTCAGGAGGAGGAGACTTTATCGTTCTCTTTCATGCCTATTTCCTTCCTCGGCCAGTACCCAGTGGCGTTCCCATAACTCTTTGTGGAATGGATACGCAGGGAACGGAGGTCAAATCCCAAGCTTTCCTCCACAGCCGTGGCCCTGTAGGCTGTGCTCAAGTGGGGTCTCCCGCAGGCGCTGTGGGGTTTGGCTCACGGGTGTCGCCTGAGCCGGGGCCTTCACAGCGTGGGCGCTGGTGTCCACCCCACCTGGGCCCTGCTGCTAGCGGCCTGGTTGCTCTCGGGCAGGGCCTCCTCCCTTGTCCGCGGGGAAACTTGAGAGAATACTAATTGCCCACAGGGCCATTATGAGGATGAAGCAAGATAATGTATGTAAAACGAAGCTCACTGCTGGCTGGAGTGACGCTCTCCAGATGGTAGCTATTATTATTGTTGTTGTTAGTGCTGTAGCCCGAGTGTCATTCTTCAGTCAAGAATGGGGGGGTGCCTGGGGGGCTTAGGGCTGCAGTGAAGAGACAGAGAAGGCATCTAGAAAAGGAAAGAACCGGGATGGAATAAGTGTGTGTGTGTGTGTGAGAGAGAGAGAGAGAGACAGAGAGAGAGAGAGAGAGAGAGAGAGTCAGTCCACGCTCCGGGGAAGGGGTGGCCAGGATTCAAAGGAGAAGCCCGCCCCTTTTTCAGCTCGGGGGAGCCGGCTGCCCAGGCTCTGCCCGCTGCCAGGAGAACCCCGAGCCGCTCTGCCGAGCCCGGCGGAGTAACCAGCGCCTGGAGTGTGAGCCTCGGGGGCGGGGAGGGGGATGGGACTTGCGCCCCCGCGGCCACTCGGTTGGTGCAGAGTCGGGTCGGTGGCTCCCAGAACCCTTAGTGCCAGCGGCGCTGCCAATCCGGAGACGCTAGTGGTCTCTTGGCCTTCGATCCTCCGGAACCCCGCGGGTGTGGCCCCCCTTCCGGAGCCGGCTTGCGGGGGGCGGCGGGCGGGCGGCGCCAGGGAAGGGGCCGTTACTTTCCCAGAGCGGCGGGGCGACGTCAGGCGGAAGGGCGCGGGGCGCGCACGCTTTAAATGGCATTCGCTGTCATCCGAGCTCGCAGCCGTGTGGGCAGGAGCGGGCTATATAAGCGGCGAGCCGGGCCGCTGCGGGGCAGACGGCGACAGCGGCGGCGGCGAGCGCCTCGGAGCG